TTGAGGATCTCGGGGCTCACGTAAGCTGGGCAGCCATGCTTGTCTGACAAAGCATCATCTTCGCCCTTGATGATGTGCGTATCTTCCAGACTTTCGAGTCTGAGCTGGGTTCTGCGGCGGAGAGAAACCAAGCTGTTATTTCCAGACCAGCTGCCATGAAACCCAAGGCCTTCCCAGGAATAGTGCCCAGGAATGCCATTTACCCCTTCATCCAGTAAGCAGTTCCCTGCAAGTACCCGGGACTTGGATTTCACAAACCAATACAAACTGCAATACATGTTTGCAAAGTATGGAGAGCGCGCCTGGGGTGGAGGGTATGATGCAAAGTCCCAAATAGTATTCATGATGCTAGAGCTTGTGAGAGATATCCTAACAGGGCTTACACAATTGACAAAGTTCACATTGCAGAAGCAGGAGCTCATCTCAGGGGAATGCTGACATTTTCTACAAAATCCATCTGGGGAGAGCAGTATAACCTACTTCCTCAGAGAGGGGGCTGAGCATCCTACAAGCCCGTCTTCCCTCTAACATGAGACACTCGCTCTGCCCAAACGTCACTCATTATGCGCCATCTGTCAGTGCCGCAGCCCACACTGAACATACACACAGAGGAAACTCTGTCCACCTGGGTCCTAGCTGTGATAACCACAGTGGGAAAGCTCTAAAGAATGTTAATTGCATTTAACTGGATGTTTCATTGCAAAGAACACTTAGCCTGGACATAGAGGTTACGTGAACAAATATGGCTGGGGGGTTTGCGGGATGCTAGACACATGTGTCCTAGCACGGCACGTCCGTGTGCAAGCCATTTATTCTACGTGGGGGGTCTCTGTCAAAGTAACAATACAGTCCAAAAAAGTCAAAGGCTCCCTTAAGAAACTTCCGGTGGCTCCTTACTTGAAATCAGCCACCCAAGTCTCCTGCATCCCCCAAAGCCCAAAGCCACATGGGGGAACCTCTAATATCCGGTGGTGGCTTGCCTTTCTCTGCTTCTCTGAAATAACCCTGTTTCAGTAAGTCACTCATTGTAAAGTTAAATGCAAACATTTGGTACTGACTGATGGGTCAATTCCTTTTCCTCTTAAAGGTCTGGTAGTGTTTTTTTTCCCCCTTCCTGCCTTCCTGTTCCCTGGAGTGTAGTATACATGTGCTAACTTCAGTTTGTCCTCAGCATGACCTCCCTGTCGTTATGTAAAATACCCATTGGTTCTGTAAACGGAAAATATGACTCAACCCACACTGTCTGCCCCTGATTGGCTGCTGTAGTACTAAAACCCTGCACCTGTGCTGGTTACACGAATAGCGTCAGCCTGCCATTGCTTAACCCTCGGGTTTCCAAACTCTGTGCCCATGACATTGGTCTGTGCAATGCAGATTTCAAAAGCTAGTAAGAAGGTTTGTAAGGCATGTTGCAGAAAAATGCATCACCKTGTCAAAGAACCATGTTCCAGGAATTGGACACTTCATTGCAAACAATTTGCTTTTCTTTGCTAATCAGTATGTTTCAATAATTATTGCAAGGTCAGATACAAAGTCATGCTTTATGGCAATTCAACCCTGTATTTTTTTGGGTGTGCTCTGGAGTTAAAGGTAAAAATACACTTTTGGGGTAAGCCCTGTGTGAAAAGAAATAACAAAATAACTCACTCCCACCTCTACAATTCTACAGGATTATTGCTCTCTTTCCAAAAAGAGATGTGGTCCACCGCTTAAAATCAGGTGTGGTTTATCTCATGCAGCTTTTCTGAAGTCTCCTATCCAAAACCTCCACTTCAAATCTTAGTGCCTCATTATTGTCTTTATCAAGCTCATCTTGTCCTGCATGAGGTCAGCCATTATCTATATTTAGCCATCAATTCTAGCCAACTTCCATTTATCATTCAATGTGGCTGTTTTCTCAAGATGCAGTCAACTAGATGTCTAAAAGGTGACTAGAGAATGTAAAGAAAGCACAGAGGACACAGCCAGAGATGGAACAGAAATGCATGTCAAGAAGGAGAGCTAAAACCTTAAGTACGAGTCTACCTAGCTCTATCATACCTCCTGGGCACGACAAAACCATGTAGTGTAAGCAAAGATTTGACAGCTTCTTCTAGGAGTACTCTAAAGGGACAGGTGACTATCTGAACACCAGGAGGCTGAACTTTTGGGCTGACAATAATGGGGAATAAGCCTGATCCTGTGAGTAGAAGTGGGGAGGGCAACCTGTTAGCATGTGACATCCACAAGAGCACCAACTGTCCCCAGGCTCCATCCAAAAGAGTGCAGAATCAACTAACCTTGGTGGTGACTTTTCAGGAGCAGGACTTATAAATGCTTAATCTCGGAACAATGAGCCCTTGGGTTTGTTGGGCACCAACACACTGCACCTAACGGCACAACCTGTACCTTCATTTTGGTTCCAAAAGGCCACAGGAGGAGCTGTGGCGGCCGCTCACCTCTCCCCCGTGGAGAAGACGAACTTCCTAAGCTTCAGGTCCCCCAGCACAATAGCCGACTGGTGGCAGTGGGCCACGGCGGACACAATCTGCTTGAAGAGCCGGGCAGCCTCCTCTTCCCGCAGCCTCTTCCGGCTTCGCACATAGGAGTGCATGTCCCCAAAGTCTCTCTCAAAGAACACATAGGCCTTGGTTTCCCCAAGGATCACTTCCACGATGCCAGTGATGTTTYTGTGCGATGGCAGCTGGATGTAAGGCCTGATTTTGTCCTGGTAGTGTTTAATGGGAAACACCTGCAGAGAGAAGGTGGCCCATTTAGGGAAGCTAGAAAAGCAGGAACTGTCTCCCCAACTCCTTAGGGAGCTGGGCTAAAGTTCTCCAACTCTGGGCTTTGGATAACAGTGAGCTCCATTCATACATCCCCTGATCTCAGCCACATCACCGTAGGCAGCCCCAGCTTCCCCTAACACCCTTAAAACCAGTCACACCCAGGGCTCCGCTCCAGCCAACAGCCAAAGGTACAGTCACACCCCATCAGGCGGATAATCTGAAAGACCATCTTCCATACGTGCTCATCTTCCATGAGAGCTAAGCCCCCAAACCCTCTTCTGTGCTTCCATGAATGCAGATAATACTGTGGGTGCCCCAGGCTCCTCCGGGGCTGGAAAGCAATCCCCAGACATGCATGTTTCTCCTGCCAGCCCCAAAGGGCTCAGAGAGGGCACCGGAGTGTGGTGACTCCGTAGCCTCCAAGGGGAAGCAGGGGCTGCAGAACATGCAGAGCTGTCATTAGTCAGAGGAACAGATGACTGGGAAGGAGAGACGGTGACAGCGCAGCCTTGAGCAACCTGCCTACAGCTGTGACTCAGGTGCAAGTAGCCTTGAGTTACATTCTCACMGGAGGGGAGGGCACTAGAATGGTCTTTTTTTCTTTTCTTTTCTTTTCTTTTTTTTGTTTCTCCCCTCCCACACACCAGCCCCACCCCCAGAGAGGGCAGCATCCCTCTAAGAAACCGGCTGGTCCCTTTAAGGGCCTTTTGTTCAGTCCAGTTACTCATATCCTAGACTCAACTGGAAATGGTGACACACGGGCTGTCACCATCTGGATTCAGCTATTATCTGCTCGGAGGAACTGGAAGGGGTTGCACAATGACCAGACCCACCCCACCTCTGAGGTGGCTGCTCTGGCACCAACTGGAAAAATCCCTCTGCTGCCCTTTCCTCCTGCCCCACCCCCCTTAACCCCCACCCCAACACACACACACACACCTCCCAAAAGAGCTCAGCCCCCGTCACCCAGAAAAGATTTCCCCCTTTAAACTTGGCTTGCTCATGCACTTGAAATTTCATGCGGATGGACGGTAGGTGGCAGCAGCAAGCCCTGGGGGCTGGAGCGGGGAGGGGGGCGTCAGGTGAGTTGAGGGAAACCCAGAAGCAACTTTAACCAGGGGTATAAAAGAGCAGCCCGGAAGGTTCTGGGGGTGTCCGACTGTGAGAACCGTCCGCGTCTACACGTTGCAGAAAGACCGGGTGGGGTGGATCCTGCTTGTAGCAGACGTACCTCCTCCTCCCGGACGGGTTCCCTTATACCAAAAGGAAATCGTTGGCCAGAAAATAAAGTGAATGGAAGCGAGGGTTCCTAGTCAGGGTGGGCTTTCCAGCATTTCTACTCTGGCCCAATCCCCCTCCCCCCACCCCCGCGATTAGCTGGAAGACCCCCCACAGACGGCTCCCTTGAGAGGGCAGAGTCCCAGTTCCAGCGCGGGTTCAAGTCGAAATCCCCTGGGTAGAAGCCCGACACGATCTTACACCCGCAGCTGAGCCAGGGTGCCGTGCACCTCCGGCAAGAGAGCTTCCAGCTGCTCCGAGCTCCGAGGAGGCACCCACAACAGGGCGTCTTTCCAGGACGGGCGGGGTGCGGGGGGGGGGCGAAACGAGGGGAATGAGAGAAGGGCAATGGCATGGCCCTGGAATCCATTTCAATTCCACAACTTATATGGAACGCCACGCGCTAGCTAAACTGGGCGCCAAGGAAAGGACTCCAGAGAGAAAGCAATTGAACCCGGCACTTCCTCTTGACCGCCGAGCCCCCATTATACCACTCCACAGGAAACCCTTCGATTTCCAAAAGAGCGACCCTGGCCAAATGAGGCCTTATGGAACTCAACCCACTTATCCGCCCTGCCCCAAACTCTACTTTGGGCGCGGAAAACCAGACCCCAAGCACCTTTGCCCACCACCCCGCCCCGCGCCCCGGATCCCCGCCGGGTCGGTCCCGGGACGCCTACCTTGCAGCGCAGCTCGCGGCCGGTGTGGATGCAAAGCGCCCGGGACACATGCTCGCGCTCGGCTAGGGGCAGCAGCAGGTAGTCGGCTATGCGGCTGGGCCCCGGTGCGCTCCCGGAGCCGCCGCCGGCCCCTGGAGCGGTAGGAGGGGGCTGTGGGCTGCAGGGCGAGCCGGGGGGGCTGAGGTAGTCCGGGGGACTGGAGCACTCCGAGAGGCGCGGGCACTTGGCAGCCACCGCCGCCGCGTCGTCGGCGTCCAGCAGGCGTTTGGCTGGGTTGCCCCGAGTGGCCGGGAGGAGCAGGGCCGGACCGCGGGGCTGYGAGGCGCCGCTCATGGCAGAGCGCACGGGGCCAACCCTCATCGCGTCCGCGGCYAGGGCGGCCCCGGCTTCGTACGTCCCCTGCTCTGCTCAGGAAGGTGCTTCGGGGTTGACGCCGGCGCTGCGACTCCTTCCAGCCCGCGGGATGGAGTCTGCAGATCCGGCTTGGCTCRGCCCCCACGAGGGGCAAAGCGGGAGCTGCTTCTCCGCGCTCGCGTTGCACGCGGAGACCACGCTGGCCGCGAATGTGGGGGTCGAAGGCCGGCTCGGGTCTCCGGACCCCCGATGGCACCGGTTCCAGGCGCCTCGCTGGGAGCGGCCGCCGCTATTGTTGCCGAGGCTGCCGACCGTCCCGAAGACAGAGGAGGAGGCGGCCTGCGTTCCCGGGGTTCTTAGCCGTGAGGACAGGATCCCGCAGGCTCGGCGGAGCCACGGAGCAAATGCACTTCCCAAAGCAATTAGTCTCAAGCAAAACCCGGAGCAACTTTTCCGTGGCGCCCGGGATCCTGTGCGCTCCTGGGCTCCGGGCTTGTGTGTGTGAGAGAGCGAGACGCGCTCGGAGAGAGTGACTGAGTGTGAGTGAGTGTGTGCGCCGCACTGATCCCGGCCAGTGCACTCCTCCTTCTCCTTTTCCTCCACCTCCTCCGCCTCCCGGTGACTCACGCTGTATACACACACACTCACAGGCCGGGCTGTGTAAACAGTTGGGAAGCCGGGTTGTGCAATGAGGTGGCTGCGACGACTCCGGCTCAGCCGCCCGGCTAGCAGTCACCGGAGCGAAGGGAGGAGACTTGGGGGAGGGGCGGTGGAGTTGGAGGTTGGGGGGATGGGGTGGCCCGAGGGCTGGGGATGCTCGGGGCAGCGCGCTCTGAGGCGCAGGTGGTGCGTCCCGGGCCGTCTTGGGCGCGCGCACTGGCCTCCAGGGCTGGGCTGGGCAGGAGGCGGTCGCGCGCCCCCCCGCAGGCCCGGGCTCCGCGCTGGAAGCCGAAGGGAGGGGGCGGAGGAAAAGTTCCCGTGACGTCAGGGTCCCGGGGAAGCGGGTGGAAGGGGCGGGGCTGCGGAAGGCGAAGAGACAGCTGATTGGTGCGCGCGCCTCATTCACAGCAACACAATGGGCTACGGGCGCGCGCACCTCGGGTCTGTGCACCCGTCTCTGGCCGCAATCCTGCAGTTACTCTTTTCGCCCAGGGGATCCCCCCACACTCTACGCCTGGGGCGCTCCTGTTGGAGCCGTGGGTGCCGTCGAGGCCCGGCTGCAGCCGGAGGAAGTGAGGAGAGAGAAGGTGATGAGTTCCAGAATCAGTCATTCACCCCCACGCGGTAGTTCCGGGGAAGACCTATGCGTGGTAGTGGATGTGGCTTTTTTTTTTTCCCTTTTCCTGCCCCCTCCCATCTCTAATCCCCAGCGTATGTTCGCTTCCACAAATAGAACCTTCTGTTGGATGAAATAAAAGCAAACACTGGGCCTTCTGCGCTGCTCCCACCTCCACGCCCCTCCCGCGCGCGCCACCCGCCCGGATTGCACGGAAATAGCTTCTCCTGGCTCCCTGGCCGCCCCTTCGCGGTGACTCGCAGAAAAAGCTTCCTGAGCCGGGGCCGGTGGGAAACAAAGGATGTGGGAGAGAGCGGAAGGGGCCCACGTGGCCGCCGCATTCCTGCCCCCTCTGCCTACTGCACACATGCCTCAAGGTCTAGGGCCCCAGTGCAGCAGCCGGGGTATCTGAGTAGGTGGTTAGGGGGTGGAAATAATTCTGACCACAGCCAGGGATACTGCTTGCACCCTGGAAACCCCAGGCCAGGTCGCATGCATGCTCTCTAGCAACTGATTTGGGTGAGCTTGAAACCTGTGCCAGACCTTGTGCGGAGATCCATAAAAACAACTAAGAATGGGTCTTGAGAAAACCAGGTCAGTTTGGAGTCCCTGGACGCCCAACATAGATACCTATTATCAAAGTCCTTCCTTGCACTTGCTGCTAAATACTTCGTTTTTTAAACCAGGTCACATCCCAAGAATAAATGCTTTTTCATATTAATTCTCCATTCATTCAACAAATGCTAATTAAGCATCTACTAAACGCTAGACTCTGGGGGCTAGCAGATGATTGAAATAGTAATAATAGCATCAATTGAGTCCTAGAACATGCAGGGCTTAGGACTTTGCATGCTACTTCAGTTTTATAACCACCCTATGGGATTATTCTTAGCCCCATTTCACAGGACAAATTGAAGACTTGTGGTTAAAAAGCTGTTCTCCAGTCAATCTCTAAAGCCCTCATGAGAACTCCAAAGAGAGATGACCATTTGTAGGGAAGAGAGGAGTTGGTGGGCCCCCAGAAGGAAGCGTTTGACCTGGGAGATGTGTGGGACTGTGAAAGCCGCAGTGGGGGAGGTATGGGGGGCGGGGTGGCCAGGCTGGCTGTGATTCAGGGAGGGCAGGCTTATTCAAGGAGGGTGGCAGGCCAGGGCAGCTGCCAAGGCAGTGGGGAGCTGAGCCTGCAGAGGTCATTTTGGACCACACTGCAAAGGGCCTCAACCCCAGGCTGGGGAGGTTTGGCTTGGTCCTTTGGCCAGGAGGGAACCTTTGTTGAGTTTTCGGCTTGTGTGCCAGAATCTGAGATCCACCCAGCTGCCTCTGCTCCTGAGTAGCCGACCCAGTGTGGCTTGCCGGTGAGCAAGTACCTCACCTCCCTCCCAAGCCCCCACCCCACCCCCAAGGCCAGGCATTCTCCCTAAAGTGTCCCTGCTTCCTCTCTCCTGCATCGGGCAGGTCACTGGGACCACCAGATCTGTTTGCTCTCAGAGCCACCCCTCAGGCTCTGCTCTGTGCTTTTGCCCTCTGGCTTCCTGGAGAGCTTGCCCTTGCCCCTGGGAAGTCCTGAAGGGATACAGCAGGCCAGAGGCAGACAGAGGCCGGCTTACTGCTTCCCTCCTCTCTGGTTGGGGCTGCCGACCAGGTACAGCCTTCTCTGGCCAGGCCCCCTGCTGAGTGTCTCAGATGTCCCACTGGAACCTCCACCCACCTTTCAGGACTGGTTTATCCCCCTGGGGCTGCTGGGAGTGCCCAGTAGGAGCCATTTTGGAAACTGCCTTGACTGAGAAGAGCCACTTGCCCAAGGCCATGCTCCCTTTGGAGTGAGGGAGATGGGGGGTCCACACTCAGTGACTCTAGGGAGAGAGTAAGATGGGGTCCTCTTATCCCAACCTGAGTCACCTCCGAAGGGCCCCAGCCTCAGAGGTCCTAGGGTCTACGGAGGCCCAGCTTCTCCCTCTGCCTGGTCCTGCCCCCATCCTTTCCAGAACATCCCTGGAAACCTCCCACACGCTGGTCCCCATCTCAGGATCCGCTTCCTGGGGAACCCCACCTGTGACACGCCCTCTTCATGATCCTGGTTTCCTCCAGGGACTCCTTTCCTGGGTCAGGCGACACGGTTTTGTCCCGGCCCTAGGGTGAGTCACCAGTGCCTGGCTTTGTTCTGCTTGGTTTCTGCTCTCCTAACACCTTCGTGACTAATTCCCTGCATGACCATCTTTCTACTGAGCTCGTCAGTCTGGGTTCCATTCTCCGACCTGGCTCCTGACCCGTAGAAACCCGGTGCCCTTTTCTGGTCCAGCCGCCTCCATGCCCATTGTTCAGGACCTTCCCTGGGTTCCCACAGTGAACTCCTGAGGCACTCACGTATCCCTTCAGCAAACAGTGAGCACCTGCCCTACACCTGTGTGCCTACTGAATGCGACCACTACAGTGGGCATAAAGCAAAACCTGTCCTCCTCCCCTCACCCCACTCCCCACACAGCTGTCAGAGTAACTGTCCCAGAATCTGAACTTGATCACATCAGGCCCTGGCCGCCGGCCTGCAGGAACTCTCAGATGAAATCCAAATGCCACAATGTACAGAAGCAGGGCCTTCTTCCAGGTCCACTTCCCTTGCTGGCCTCACTTTTCTTACCTCCTGGCCTCTGTTCTATCCACACCAGCTCCGGACCGAGCCCGAAGCACACCTGTCAATTCCCACGTCTGCATTTTTGACCGTGCTGACCCTTCTCCCTGGAATTTCCTCCCCTCCCCAACCAACCTAAGAAACTCTTACTCTGGGAAGCTGAGGCAGGAGGATTGCCAGTTTGAGACCAGCCTCAGCAACTCCGTGAGGCCCTAAGCAACTTGGCAAGACCCTTTCTCAAAATAAAAATATAAAAAAGGACAGGGGAAAGTAGCTCAGAGGTAAAGCACCCCTGGTTTAAAACAATAATAATAATGAAATGAAGAAACTCTTACTCATGTTTCAAAGCACAGCCCAGACCCTTCCACACCTGCAGTCAGATGTCAGTGTCCTCTGGGCTGCAAAGCCATTGACCACCCTTTCCATTCAGCTGAGTTCCCAAAAGGCAGGGTGACCCCTTATGCAGTCATGTGTCTCAAGCCCCCAGCCGAGCTCCGTGATAAAAGAGGAGCTCAGGAAGTGCCAGGTGAATGAAGTACTAAAGGGCAGAGTTACCCATGGGGAGAGCCCAAGATGAGGGCAGAAGCCAGCATTTGGGCAGGGATGGAGACTAGAGATGAGGACAGAGTTCAGAGTTCAGGCGTCAGCCCTGGAAGGCAAGGGGCTGTCAGTCATTGGCCAAAGCAGAGGCTTAAACTTTGGGGCCTCTGGCCTGGGTGCCCAGGAGGATGCACAGGGGCCTTGCAGGGCCCGAGACCAGGGAGGCTGAGGGACAAGTAAGCCGAGATGGTCTTGATTTCAGTGCTGGGGCTTTCTCTGCTGACATCTGAACTAAGCTTCCATCAGACTCCTCAGGTACTAACCTAAGGAAGCCAGTTGCTCTTCAAGGGCCTCAGTTGCCTCACCTGCAAAATGGGCATAACAAAGACCCAGTTTTCCTCCCCTAGGAGGTCCTTAACGAAGTGACAAATAAATATATACGTAAATGACGTGTGTTAATTCAGAAGGGGTTCTTCCCATGTCAAGGATCATTTGCTTTATACAGGGATCCACTGCAAGCTGCCATCAGCAAACTTTTAAGTGCATTTAAAGGTGGCTGTAGACGCCAGAATCACAGCTGACTGCTTGTATGTGCGTGCATGTGCACACATGTGTGTGTCTCAGGTGGCCTGAGTACTGTGTTAAGTGGATACCAGATGCTCACTACATGTAAATTGGGGAAAAAATTGATTTACCTCCAACTTTTCAGGAACTTGCCTGTTGCATAACACGGGGAAACCTGCATTGATTTTTCAGGACAAGGTTGGGCTGCTGATGAGCTCAGGCTTGCTTCATTCTCATGGTGCCAAGGCAGGTGCCCGGCAGCCCTGGAAGGTTCTGAGGATTCTGGTCAGTGTGGGGTACAGGGGAATTCTTAGCAGGGAGTTGTTAGTGGTACACGCGTTGCCATCTCCATCTCCCTGCCCACTGTACGCAGGGCAGGTGTGGGTCGGGTGCATTTTGTTCCCTGATCCTAAATTAAAAAAAAAAAAAAGAATGAAAAATTTTGGGAACACATTTAGGGAATATGGTATTTCAAAAGCTAGGAAAGATGCAAACATGGATGATGTTCCTGCCATACACTATACTCTTCCTAGTGGTTTAATGTTCAAATCAATCTTATAAAACAGTGATTATTACCACCAT